TAATTATAAATAATTGCTCGATCCTAAGTTCTCTTTGTAGCTTTGTAGTGTTGTTAATTAGATAAGCTTGTTATTTATAGTTTTCCTGTTTAATGGATTTTATTTTACTAATTCTAAGCCCCAGAAACATGAGATTATCTGAAATGTAATTTGTTGCCAAGTAATAATTTTCCAAATCTGTACATTTTATGAGCACACAAAAGTCCAATTGGCCACGGTAGTTAACACCTTGTTAACTGACATTGCCAACCAAATTAAATGTTTTTATACTCATTCACAGAAGAGAAATGGGTATATTGGTTTATCTGTGCGATCTGTTCATCTGTCCTCGTGAATGAAAACCAATTCATTGATATTAATGTGAAAGACCCGAAATATGTTACTTATATTCGTATATACTCTACTAGTTGTAGATCCCGATCCGCCTTCTAAGGGCATGTCAAATCAGTAAATGCATTTACGGGTATCGCAGACCATAGTAGTTGAAGTACTAGAGAGTTGAAATTGCTGCTATTAAATTGCACAAAAATAATATGTATGTACCAATCGATCAAATCTTGATTTATATCTCTGAAATTTCTAGCTCCACAAAATAATTTATTGCACCTTCCGTCTCGTCTCGTTTGCATATAAAGTAAAAATTAATATATATTTTTAAGTACCTCTTTTAGCATTATTGATTTGTGAAGAGCGATCAGGCAGACGCCGTGTTTACATTGAGTGTCGCGATTTATTTTGTGAATTCAGTTTGACAGCTTTGATTGATGCATTCAGCTCGTTTCAATGTATTTAAATAAATTGAATATATATTTAAACATGTATCACTGTATTTTTTCGGGTTAACTTGGGTCAGCACTGATACGTGTTATACAACTGCATCAACGCGCAGAAATTGAGACTGTTAGATGGCTTTGAGATCAATGCACTGATAGATTTTTATTAATGGATTTTTAATAACTATAATTGGAAATCAATAAAATTAAAATAATGATTATTTAAAGGGGGAAAAAAAATTAAAATAAATATTGTCGCAAAAGATAGTAGGATTCGAAATATATACATATAATAATTTTTGTTAGCTAGGTTCTATATTTACGGAATGACCAACAATTCTAAATTGATTTATAAAGTGTTTTATTTCTATTATATATAAAACACATGTTTCTGATAAGGTTTTTACGAGAAAGCAACGTGACTTTTATGTATATATTATACATAATATATAATCATAAAAATATTATCACTAAAATTATAATAATATATATATTCGCCAGACGTAAACATATAAATTCCTCCGACAATAAAGTCGAAATAAAATGTGACCTTCTCAAGCCTAAGCCTAGGAGTAGAGTCCAGATCTTTGTTAACTTTCACAAAAGATGTATAAATTGATGGCTCCTGAAGGTCACAATGCACTTTTAAAGTAAGCGAAAGAGAAAGAAACCAAGAAAAATATTCCCGTTGGGGACTTCAACTATCACGGTTTCTGAGATTACTGAGAGGACTCTTTCCGATTTGACGTGCCCCTATAAGTCAAAGGCATACACAAGTACATTTTCCAATATTCAAAGCTCTAGCTACAATAGGTTTGCACTCCTGCGAACATTGCACAAAACCAATATACCTCTTTCACTGTCGTGAATGAGTATTAAACCCAAGAGCGTAGAAGCCTGCATAACAGATTAGCGAAGCCACAAAATACTTGTAAATAATATAAATTATATATGTCGCACAAAATTCATAAGTATAAAATCAATCAACACAAAACGAATTGAAGAATTGATGTTTTCTTTTTCATTGATTTTAGTTATATTATTTATATATAAATATATTATATTATTTATAAATAAATATATTATATTATTTATATTTTATATAAGCATATATCAAAATTTCAGGCACAAAGGAACTTTTCATATATTAATTTGTGTTCACAATATACATATATATAAAAGCTACATTTGTACTTACTTTTCGGTCTTGAAAACATTTTCGTCGAATTTGTGTATTATTTAATTTTATTAAATATTTCGAATGTGTTCTTTACTTAATATATATATATGTTTTCCACTTGCACTGACAACGCTAGATTGTATTATAGTCTCATCGCAGGAGCAATTTCAGATAATGCGGAAATTCAGCCTAAAAAACTGTCTATATCAGCTGGCAACTGCCAGCGATCGAATGAATTTTAATTTAAATGAACCAGAGCACAACCCAATGATTGAAATGTTTTATGTGCTATATATAACAATATTAAGCGATCTATATTGTATGCATGCCAGATTATACATATAAGAGTACATGTGCATAATCTACATTCGAAAAAAAAGAGCTTTTGGAGCATCCAACTGGAACGTCATAAGTCTTATCAGAGTCGAGAGCACTCGAAGCAGACTGGCAATCAGACATCCACAGACAGACAGACACAGGTGGCAGCCTTTAGGGTTTTTTTTTTTTTTTTTTTTTTTTGGCTGTCAGCTAGGCCAACAGCTGCTCAGGTTGGTAACGAAAAGACCTTTTTCAATTTACCACATGGCGAACCCAAATTGGGTCAGTTATAGTTGTTGGTAGTAATCAGCTTATTGCAGTTTTGTATTCAATTGGTTCCTTTGTGTCACGCCGCTGAGCGAGCATTAAGTCGAGACGCTCGTTCGTTGGTCTAATTAGCCGAAGCCCTGAACTATATTTTACACTGATTTATATGTGCGTACATATACGGAACAAATGTATTTATATAGCAAGTCTTTTGATTTAGCACCGCACACTTTTCTATTTTGCCTTTCGATGGAGGAGCTCGATGAGCGCGACTAAGCTTAAGCGAAACGAAATCTCTAATCAAAATAAAATACCCAGCTGAAGAAGTCGTTGAACGTAGCGACACAACAAGGAAGGCAGCAAATACAATACAAGAAGAAACACACACACACACACACACCCACGCACTCCCATGCATATATCCACACATACTCATACACACTCATATGAGGACTGGAAGCTGGAAAGTCCGATAGCGGAGATCAGCAAAAGAGCGTGTGCCCACAGCTGCGCAGCACATATCAAAGAAGTAACTGTAAATATGTCGCATTTGGCTCAACATTCCAATGGAAGGCACAAAAATTGCCTGTCTAATCCAGGAGGTAATATATGCTGACTAACGAATTCCCTCTCTATGAAATTGCTCATGCTCTGTTGGAGAAAATAATTTAAATTAAATAATTATTAATGGAGATCATATTCAAAATATATTTTATTATTTTAAATATGGTTTGTTTTATTATTATTATTATTGTGTTGTTTTAATAAACATACATATGTTGTTGTTGTTATTATTAAAACTCTTTAAGTTTAAAATAAATTTCGTAAGCATATATATATTAAAAAAAAATAATAATAATAATAATATCAAGTGCATATTTGTCAAATATATAGATATTAAATATATGTATTATTATTTATATATTTTTTTTTCTATTTGTTTAATTTATACAAACAATTTAAAAAATATATATAAATATTTAATATGCATATATATAATTTATAATTTAGTTTTTAATATATAAAATTAATTTTAAAAATATTCTATATGCCCAATAAATTTGATACAAAGTAAGAAGAAATTATATTTATTATATTTATTATAATTCAGTTGTATTTATTAAGGTACAATTTTTTAGATAAAATGAAAATAGTTTTCTTATATATAATTGTGCTATAATATTGAAAAATTACCATTATTAAATATATATATATTTTTGCTTATTGTTTAGTATAAGACAGACGGCAAATAAAATGAAAAATAAATAAATTAAAAAAATCTAATAAGATAATTTTGATAAAAAGAATTAAGAACTATATATATATATATATATATAAATATATATATATATATATATATATATATATATATATATATATATATATATAAATATATATATATATATATATATATATATATATATATTATTTATATATTATATATTTATATTATATTTTTCTTAGAATTTAAAATTATTTTAATTTTTACTAATAATTATATTATGAGTTATATTTTTGTTCGTTGTTTATGTATAATTGATATTTCATGAACAATATATATTTGTATATATTTCCATATTACGTTTTGAAGATCTTCAAAGTCTCCTATCGCGAGTTGAACGGATGCCAACAGTAACTGCCCAACCCGACCCTAAAGACTGATAAAATTAATAAATATATTCATATACACTGTATATACATACATATGTATTTATTCATTCACTTAGAAACCACAATTTGAATGGCGAGAAATTCTATTATTCTAGAAACTTGTGCTCGTACCAAAGAGAGTTGTCAACTGAGATAGTTTGCTGGCATACCAGTTGGACATACTTGGGCCTGGTATGGGGGTAGATGATTAGCTATAATTAACTATTGTTTAAGGGGTTCAATAACACGTATTCTAATCGCATTTAAATTGGTTATATAATATTAGAGCAACGCCTACATTATATGCCTAATGCAAGAGTTACGTATATCTACATATAATATACATATAGGATGTATATGCATAGTTTTGCATCATATAAGCCTGCTTACCTGGCCGTTAAATATTTTAATTCAACTGGCAATTAAGGCAAATCAAGCGCGGCATATGCTGTTATTAGCAATTATAGAGGTCGGCTCACAGCTCACTGCGCGTAAGTGACGCAAATGCCCAGGAAAGTGAAGGGAACTTTGCTACATTTACCTATGCACATTAAAAATTCAGATATCAGATCAAAATACACAAGAACAAAAAAAAAACAAAAAAAAAAACTTTAAAGAGGACGCTATAATCGAACACAAAAAACGGTTCCGCATCTGGAAACCTGTGTAAGAGGCAGATTCCTTTCCATTTGCTCTCGATCGGAAGGTCAACTGAATCGTTACGCCCACCTGGCAACCCTAATTTCCCACTTCCAATCTACACACGTGAATCGTGGATCGCCCCTGACTTCGCGCCTTGGCGCCAAAGCTCCTTCCAAGCGCCTCAGTTGCCCTCGAGAGATATACGCGCACGCAGAAACGAAGCCCAGAAGCCACAAAATTTTGTTTGTCCTCAGTGTTATTTTTTTTTTTTAATTGAATCTTTTCTTTAAGAACACGCGGCTTAAGAGTTCTTATTATTCTACTTTATTTTTGTTTACTAAAATAATAATTTTACATCACAAAAGAGAGACTTTATTTTTTACTTGTATTTGTTTCAAATTTCTTTCGCATCAATAAGTTAACAAGTTCCAAACAAATATTGATTTTGTTTAACTATTATAAGTATTTTTAAACGATCCCGAGCTGGGTGGCTTTTTATTGCATTTCTGGGTTTTTCGCTGCACACGTGAGTATATGAACAAAATTACAGTGGTACGAAAGTGATTCAATTGCGTTTTAATTGCATGCTCAACGAAAACACGTGCCTTCTGATAGATTATAGCCTTTGAGCAATAATTAAACGTTAGGGTGAAAAATGATTTGCGTCAGAAATAATGTATAGCCTCAGCTAAGTCATTTCTATAATTGTTCAGTTCTCCATTATTCTCCATTAATCTCCAATATTAAGAATATAATTTTAAAATATATATTTTACTATATTATAATTCATTCCTTTAAATTTAAAAAAAATTCGTTTAAATTAAAACATTTTATAGGGTATTAGTTGTTGGTGTATGCCCATTCTCGAATATGCAATTGTCGCTCAACTCTGTAATTATTAAATTATTCCATTAAAAGTGAATCAATCAATCTAATGCGGATCAACTTGTATTCTATTTAAATTGCAATTACAAATTAATCTCGTCACACTGTATATCTGTAACTGTATTCATACACAGTTAACTGTCTGGCAAACTGTCATACTAATCTTTTGTTTCGTATAATTGCAAAAAAAAAAAAAAAAAAAAGTAGAATGCACTGGAAGCTCGTACACTCGATCTCTCCATCTCTGCATATTCTTTGCACTTACCCTTTCTCACCTTACTCTCACTCTCTCTCTCTCTTTTGCTCTCTCTCTCTGCCTCTCTCTCTCCCTGTTTCCCATCGTTGCACTGTGTTGACATTGGCTATTTAATTAGCACCACAAAGCCGGTTATTTATTCCCTTTTAGTTGAACGTATTTCATGTTTTTATTGATTTTCATTTATTGATTTCCATTTATATTTAATATAATAATCTTTTTATTGATGTGCTTGAGTAAATTGTTTCATTTCAACAGCTTATTGCATACATCAAGTTTCTGTATATGCATTTCAGATTCGTAAAATTTCTCCAATCACAAATACTATGTTAAAATAATAAATCTGATTGAGCTAGAACTATGGAAAGTCATATATCAAATCCAACCAAAAGCTAACTGGATTCTTATCTACATAATAGGCTGAAAATTGGAATTTTGTAATAGTATACCATACCATACAAGATATCATAAATGATCTCGATCTTTAGTATATCTTTTTATTCCATATATTCCATTTCATTTCCCATAAACTCTCTCACTCCAGCAACAATTCCCAGGGTATATACTAGTCATGCACCCACTGTCAATCGATCAATCGGATATGTCTTAATGGATGTGCCTATGCAAATTGTATCGTGTTAACTCTTTTATAGATCTTTGCAGTCTCCGAGAATTAATGAATTAGATGAAATGTTTTTCATTTGCTTTGATTTAAATTAGAACCAGAACCAGAACCGGCACCGGCACCGTCACCAGAGCACAAATGGAACGCATAATTCCACATGCATATAAATATAATTCAATTATTGGGGATTTTTTATTTGTGCTTTCAAATTCCAGAGAAAAACATCAAACGCGTGTCCAGCAGGTGCCAAGCACCGGCATCGATAGATACTTTGAGCTGCCTGCTAACATAAGTCCAGAGATTACAATTCCAATTCTAGTTCCGCCTAGAAGCTATACGAAATGACCGAACGTTTGTACAGGTAAGTGTGACTCGCATTAGTTATAGAAACTTTTACCTGCAAAGGGCACACTTGTTTACAATTTTCAATTGATCTATGTGACGAATTTTGTAAATATTCTCATTCTATTTGCTCTACATAATATTATAATACCACATTTGTTGTTCTCATATAGGTATTAAGGTCTTAACTTAATTGGCATTACATTCCTTACTACTTACTGATTGAAAAAAAAAAATATAATGGGCATTTTAATATTGTTATTGATATTCGTTTTTCTTTACAGAAATTATGTTTTTATGTATATTCATGAGAAGAAACGTATTAGGATGGGCAGAGTAATAAGTAAATTTAATTGCGCTTTTGAGGAGCTTATTAAGGGCTTTTTAAAGATGCAAAGAATCCGATGAAAAAGAATATATAGATATTTAATATAGATATAATTATATCGTGAGAATAAAAATATGTACAGTTATTTTATATAATTCGATTCTCTGAGGAAAATACCGAACCGCACTCAAACATAAAACTTTTAAAATGATATGATTCAATTGAGAATGTGGAGAATCGATTAAAAGAGCGCTCTTTCCTTGAGTAGGATTCTGAATGCAAAGTAATTCACAACAATAAAGCTAAAATTTGAAAATCGCATAGAAAGGCAACTCATGGCAAAAGTAACTGACAACAGAGCGGATTTGTTTAGTTGTTTAGTTGATTTGTTGAACACTTTTCTATAAGGTTTACCTCAGTTCATAAAAATAATGGTACTGCACCAAACAATACTAAACAAAACATAAACCATATGAATTCAATATTCAATATTCTAATTGTTGAAGATCATATAAAAAAAAATTGTTGATAATATAAATAATAAGTATTTATGTATACATACACAAATATAAATTACAAAAAAATAAATTTTTGTGTGTCCTAAAAGAATTCGAATTTTCATAAGTTAGGTTTTTTTTATCTACTTCTACTAGGTTGATTATTTTGTAGGATATGTACACAAAAATTTTTTTTTAAATCTCATTGAATTTTGCCGTCCAACATTATACCCTAAATACTTCCCTCATAAGATCTCAACATATCTAAATTTTTAAAACTATTATCTCTGACCCACTCATTCTGTCACTTCTAATCTCTCGTGTCTCTCTCAGCTGGTCGGGTGATGCTGGCGCCGAGAATCCAGCCGCTGCCTACTATGGCGCCCAATCGCAGCTCTATCCGACGGCTCTGTGCGCGGACTACAACAACAATGCCGGCATTGGAGGTTTGCGCTATTTCAATGGACTGCCCGGGTATACGGCGCCGCCCGGAATGCTGCCGCACAAGTACACGGGTGGGCCGCCCATGCCCAGCCAGCTGGAGGTGTGCCAGTACGCGCATGCGAATGGCAGCGCCAGTTGCTACAATCGCAATCGCTATATGCCCTACAATCACAATCGGGCATGCGCGGCCGCAGCTGCTATGGCAGCGGTCACTGGTCACCCATTGATGACGATGGCGCAGCCGCATCATCAGCAACAGCAGCCGCAGCAGCAGGGGTTGGGCTTGGGTCCAGGAGGTATTGGGGGTGGAGCAGGTCCAGGTGGAGCTGGTGCTTATGGCGGTGGTTATCCGCCAATCTTTGCGCCCATTTATCAGCAGCCGCAGCAGCAGCAGCAGACAACTCCACTGGCCACGCCCACCAGCAGTGGTCCTTTGATGACGCCCACCGTGAGCATTGCAGCCAGCAGCGCCGCTGCCACAACTGCAGATTACGGCTATGGCAATGGCCTGATCAACACCATGGCGCCCAGCATGGCGGCCATGTCCTGCTCGGGCGCCTCGACCATGTCCACCAATAGCTGTGCCAGCAGCTCCAACGGCGAGTCGAGCACACCAGCTCACACCTTTGCCAGTGTGACCGATCCCAGCGATGCGGTCACACTGCAAATCACCAATCTGGACTACTCGCTGGATGAGACCAGTTTGCGTAACTTCCTCATGAATCAGCTGAAGCCCATCACGCCGGTCGTCTCGCTCAACTTTGAGGCGAGCAGCTACGCCAAGGTCACCGTGCCGGATCTCTATGTAAGTGCTGGAATCCCTAAGGAAATGTTTACAATGTATATATATTGTGCCTTCCCCTCCAGTTCGCCAAGCAGGTGGTCTCCAATTTGCACCGCAAGAAGATTGGCCACAAACGCATGCTGGTCAGCTACACGCGCGACTCCTCCCTCACGGAGGTCAACACGTTGCGCTGCCAGGTCGCTGGTCTGCTGAAGGTTGGTTTACTTATAATATAGATCTGATACGATCTCCATTTTAATGATTTTCTTTTACATAAATTGCCTTTATAAAGCACCAGGTATTTTCTATACTTTTTATGTGTTTCCTTGAAATTATTTATTTTTAATTTTAGTACGTTAGTTCATTTTATTTGGCTATAAGATTATAATACTTCTTTACCGCTTTTTAAATTCTTGATTATTATATTATTATATCATATATTATATTTATACATTATTTCAAATATTAGATAATATATAAAGAATATTTTTCCTCCTGATAGTAGACAGTTTATATATTCTATAATTTATGACAATTCAAATGAAAGAATACAGATATCTTTACAAATCTCACTCTTTCCCAATTCCATTGATTCCTGAGCTCCCTTTCAAAGTGGAACAAGTTCTCGCAGGCTTTTGGGTATCTCTTCCCATTAAAAATGGAACAGCTTCTCACAAAGGGCTCTCTAGATGTCTCTTAGTCGGGCACACCCGTAGCACTCGTACCTTTTTCAAATATTTCTATTATATTCCCAACTTTTAGTATCATAACTCCATTATTAAACTTTTTCCGCTTTCTCATACAATATATTCTATAATAAAATATTATAATGCTGATTTTCCCACTAATTTGTATTATAAAAATTCCCAAAACCATTTTTTTTTTTTTCAACATATTATTCAATTTTTTTTTATCCTTCCTTGATAAATTTTTTTTCTTTTATTTACAACATATATGAAAAATTTCTGATTCCATTTTTCCCATTTTTTCCTACTATAAAAATTTCCTAATAGGTTTTTTTTTTACAAAATATTCTTTAATTCCTGATTTCATTTTCCTCATGAATTTCTACTATAATTTCTTAATCTTACTCCCTATCATTATTATACAAAATATTCACCTGTTAATCTTTTTTTCCAATCAATCGATTCCTCCTCGATTTCCCTACAGGACGTTCCGTATTATACATTGCCCATGTATAAGTTCCGTGAGCTGTTTCAGTCGCGCTTCAAGACCTCAATCAGTGTCCTGGATTTGTACAAGATGCAGGATATCTGCACCATCAATGCGGGCAGCAATGAGGACAAGTTCATTAGTCTGCAGCCGGAGCTGGTCAATACGCTGGAGAGTTCGCCCCTGATGGAGGGACTGCAGCATAGCGTGCCCTATTGCACGATCCATTTTAAGCGCGAGCAGCACAAGGGCTGGGCCGAGCAGGAGATCGAGCCGTTGCCCAATGTGTGCATGACTATAGCCGAGATACAGCAGCTGATCTATCCGCTGTTGAAGCACCATCCGGGCGACATACCCGTCGCCACTCTGCTGCACTGCATCGAGGGTCAGCTGAAGGTGCAGATTGCCGCCAACGAGAGCGGCGTCAATCTGGAGCACCTGGTCTGCTGTGTCCAGGGCATACAGATACAGGTGAACAATTTCGGCATCAAGATTCTCGGCTGGCTGGAGCTCAACAAGGACCTACCAACGGCGGGCAGCACCAGCAGCAACACCAACAGCACCAGCGCCAGCAGTAGCAGCAACAACGGCAACAACAACCTGGCCAATGTCAGCCTGAATGGCAGCGAGCGTGGAAATGGCAATGGGAGTGGAAATGGCGGCTCTGGCGGCTACTTCAAGAACTCTGTGGCCGATCCGCTCTTTCAGATCTCACGCGAGGTCATCGAACTGGTGAAGATGTCGCCCAAGTCCACGATGAAGTTCAATCGCTTCATACCGGCCTATCACAATCATTTTGGCAAGCAATGCCGCGTGGCTGACTATGGCTACACGAAGCTAATTGAGCTCTTCGAGGCGCTCTCCTCGGTGGTCCAGATCATGGGCGATGGCGAGAATCGCCAGATAACGCTCACCCATCGCACACAGATCAGACGCTTCACCTCGGATCTGTTGCGGGTGCTGCGCGCCAATGGCAACAATTCGGTGCTGCTGTCCCAATTGCCGGGCATCTTTGCCCAGACCCAGAATCGAAACTTTGATGTCACCGACTATGGCGTCTGCGACATTGTGGACATCTTGGACGGGCTGGTCAACAGCAACATTGTGGTGATCAGCCCCGTGCAGCAGGGCAAGGATATCCTAATCTCGATGCCAAAGCGCAAGCAGACCAACGCCGAGCTGGAGAAGACCTGCGTCTTTGCTGGCGAGATGGTTGAGCTGTTCCAGAACGCACTCCAGTACACCATATCGTTCCAGAAATTTGTGCGCTCCTATCACTATCATTTCGCGTACCAGTGCCGCCTGAGCGACTTTGGATTCGTGAAGCTGGCCGATCTCATGGACGCCATACACGGCGTCGTCGAGCTGGAGCTCTCCAGCGACGAGGACAAGAAGATTGTGCTGTCGCCCAAGGTGGCGCGACGTGTGTTTGCCGAGCAGTGCGAGGATCTCATACGCAACGTGACGGGCAACTCCACGAACTGCATGAAGCTGGAGCAAGTTTTGAAGCTGCACAAGAAGAAATTTGGCTATCAAATGCTGCCACAGACCCTAGGCGCTCCCGACATAGCCAGCGCCATTGAGCTGCTGCCCTATGTGGAGCTGGTCAACAAGGATCAGGCCACCTGGCTCATATGTCACAACGACGATGTGGAGTTCCGTCAGCTGTGCTATCGCGCCTGCAAGCAGCTGCTGCAGCGCGAGGCGGGAGCCAAAACAGCCAGCGGAGAGTCCGCACCGCCTCAGCTGGAGCCACTCAGCCAGGCGCAATTCCTGAGCGATTTCAATGCCAAGCACAAGGCCCAGCTGACTGAGTCGGCGCTGCGGGCCATGCGACATGCCATAGAGGTGAGCTAACAGACTCTCCATGAATACACCTACTTGTATATAAACATATCTATACTCCTAGATCTATGTGGAGGCTGATCAGCCTTGCGTGCGACTCACGCCCTTCATGCGCTTCCTGGTGTCCATTGTGCGCCTCCTGGAGCAACGTCCCAGCATGTATCTGTACGAGCTGAAGAACAGCCTGGACTGCGGCCTGAGCACCACCTTCGAATATGGATTTCCCAACTTGTATTCGGTGATTGTGGCGCACGATGATCTCTTTACAATCAACATGGGCGCCACGCAGGAGCGCAGCGATGTGGCCCTAAATGTGAACTGCGAATGTGAGTTTTCTCTTCTCTTCTTTTTTTTTAAAGACTAAATTTAAAAATTTATACAAAAAATTCAAATATTATTAAATTTGATTCTTAAATATATGAAAAAAAAAAATATTTAAATTTGTGTAAATTTACAAATTTAATTTTACTTACAAGCATCTATATATTTATGAAAATCGGTCTCTTACAGTACGCCTTGGCTCGGGTGCCACACACCAGCATCTGTTTGGCTCACTGAAGCTGCCCTATGCCAAGCACAAGGCACAGCGCAGCGCTCGCACACCGCTGGGCGAGCACAATCGTCCGGCTCCGGCACAGGCACCGCCACCGCACAAGACCCGAGCCATTGCCAACGAGTATGCCGGCAACATGGGCAGCGTGTGCAATGGGGCGTTCAAGCCGCAGGTGTCTGTCAACAGCTTCCAGGCATATCAGGAGCAATTGGCCGCCAACTCCAAGTGCTCGCCGCCCAGTGCCAACAGCTCGGTGCTGTCGTCGACCATGTTGAACAGCTCGTTGTGCAGCAACTGCAGCAACAAGGAGAATTCGCTCAATAGCTCGCAGCAGTTTTATCACAACAGCAGCGGCAGCAACAACAGCAACAGCAGCAGCAGCGGCAGCAGCAGCAGCAACAGCTCCTTCAATACATCCTGTGAGCTGAACAACAGCTTGTGCCCTGGTGATGTTACCTCCAGCACGGCCATCACGCAAGCCATGCCCTATGCGCAGGCGGGCAAGCTTTGGTATCGTCGTCAGGCGAGCTTCTATCAGCAGCAGCAGCTACAGCAGCAACAGCAACAGCAACAGCAGCAACAACAACAGCAGCAACAACAGCAACAGCAACGCCAGCGCCAGCAACAGCAGCAACAGATGACGAACTTGTTGCCACATCATCTGGACTCTGGACGAGATCTCTATGATTTGAATGTGGCACCGATTAGCTCCTGCTACGAGCCACCCAAGCCCGATACGCCGCCATCTGAGGTAACTAATTAACAATAGCTAAAAGAATTTGATAAATATTTATATATACACTCTCCATATAAATTCATGCTCTTCTGCACTAGAAACTGCCCTTCTGGATCGATCCCATTTGGAGCAACCAGTCGCAGCAGCCCAAGCAAAATTCGCTCAACATTCGTCTGCCAGAGCTCAAGGCTCCAAATGTCTTGCCCATGCTGCTATCGCCATATACCATATCCAAGCATGTGAATATGAAGCGGCAGATGTTTAACTTTGATAATCACGATCGCAAGATCGCCTAAACATAATCATAATAATAATAGTAATAACAATAATAATAATCTCAACTTAGATCTTAAGTGCCAAGTGGAATAGTAAAACTTTCACTTTTTCATTCCTGGTGGGTTCCTGGTGAGCCTTGAAATTGTTACAATTTGATTTCATATCGATAAGCAAGATGTTGTCTCTATTCAAAAGAAAAAAGAAAAAACACAAGAAAAATATTCCTTTAGCTGTAACGCAATTTGTTAATGCCATTCTATTGATACTACGAGAATTACGAGGATATATCCCATAAGATTGCTTTCTTTTATAAATTTGTTACACGGATCACAATCAACACATTTTGTATTTTAGTCCCTAAGCTACAAATTGTAAATTGCTCAAATTTGTTGGGTCGAAACGTTAGAAAAAATATATATATTTTTTGATCGAGTTATTGAAGAGATTTTTTGTGAAGAAATGTATGGGGTATATGATTCTTAAAGAGAGATTTTTTGTTTTACATATTGTTGCTTGGGACGACAAACTGAATCAAGCTAGTCCAACTGTCCTGAGCATAAGTATAACATCGTTTAAACTATAGCTCAGTTTTCTATAAATACAATTTAAGAAATATCCTCTTGATTGAACGCAGATGGTTCCCGGTTTTGATTGATAGGGTATCGTTTAGTCGAACCAAATCGACAAGAGTTTTCTTACAAGTTTAAGCTAAGTTTTCATTCAGTTCATTCGCAAACTAGCGTTTTTTTTTTTAAGTTTAATTTAAAAATAATTTCTATTAAAATTGCTGTAAAATGTCTTAAAAATTTGGCGCGACGTGACGAAAGATTGCGTTGGCGAGCTCAATTCCAAAGAAGGTCGCCGCATTTGCCGGAAACGCACGAAGTATAACGGGTGTAAAGCCACTGAAAGCATAATTAAATACAGTTATACATAGCATTAATAGTCAGTAAAAGTAAAAACAAACCGATATAGTGCTGAGATGCCATCATTTTTCCTTAGATCTTTAAAAACTGCCCTTATGCCATCAAACGTGCCATCGGGAGCTGATGGAGTCAGATTTCGATTAGATCAAACGACGACTACGACTTCTATTGATGGAACTACCCTCCAAACTTACCAGATTGTAAACGACTTTTCAGCACATCGGCCGGCATACCGCCAATCCAGTAAAATATGCCTGCCATGCCACCTGCGATAATAGCCGGAATCAGATCAACATTTGGCCGATTGAAGCGACGCTTGTACTCGTCCGTCATGATCTCATAGCTTAGAAAGTACAGCCCATTGGCGGGTATATCTGAAAACAAATTTGAGCTTATATATATAGAGTTAAAAATCACATGTCAAGAGTGTTAACGAAATTATCGTGTCCTACTCGTGGCATAGCTAACCAATCCAGCAATAATATAATTGCCATGCGCTCGTTGCGCTGATGATGTGTGCTAATAACGTGTCGGTGTCGATTAGATTACAATTCACTTTACCGTATAATATGGATATGCAATAAATGCAATCCAATTAATGTTGACTAATTGCTAGTGCTACACGAGTCGAAGACAACACGCGCTGTCGTTCGAGCCAGTGGCTATCAAACTGAATTATTGCCTCTCAAACTGTTTCTCATCAGTTTCAAATTAATTCAGTTTAACATAAAATTGCTCAAGTATGAAAACAGCACAGTGCTTGCTAAAAGTACACTGCCACTGCTTTACAATGAAACGTATATGTGCTACATGTTTAGCCATAATTTGTTCCATTACTGTTTATCAATTAAAATATTTGATTCAACATTAAACTTAAGACTTTAAGCATTTTGCTTTTTGTTAAGATATATACCTATATATATTTGATTAATATATATATTACATGTCTAAAATTGTATAAAAACCATTTGCACTTTGATTTTCTTGAAATCTTACAAAACAATTAAAAAACCCGCTTGAATTTTATGCAGATTTTGTTTAAAACATACCAACGCAAACAGTTAACACTGTCTTACATATATATGTTTATATATATTATATACATATATCAGACCTGAGCTTAATGCTAAATTTAACTTATATATAAATTGATTTCTGTATACATTTCATTCAAGTACAATCATATTGAAAAACAATTCTCTTTTTATTAAATTTACATAATAATTTTGCAATAACAAAGACTAACTGACACTTAACTTTTAGCTTGAACATTACTTCAAAAGGAAATCCCTGGGTCTATCTACGATTTGAAAAATATTAACAATTAGAAATCACTTTATTAGAAATTTGGTGCAACCAAATTGAAGAATTTGTTGGCCAGCTCAATGCCAAAGAAGCAGGCAGCATTGGCTGGGAAGGCACGTATCATAATGGGCGTAACGCCGCGATACAGAGCCAATGGGCCGTCCTTAACAATCAGATCCTTGAACACGCTGCGCACGCCGTGCTTGTATGTGCCCTCGGGTGCTGCAACGAATTTTGATGAAATCAATCGAATCAATTGATATTATATAATATTTACTTACCCGATTGCAGACGACTCTTGAGCACGTCGGCGGGCATGCCCAGAATCCAGTAGGCCATGCCAGCGGCGCCGCCCGCAAATATGGTTGAGGCAGTGTTGATCTCGCCCGTCTTCGAGTGGGCCTTGGCCACATCCTGTATGTACTCGTAGACCAGGAAATAAAGCCCGTTAGCGGGCACGTCTGGAAAAACACGTTCAACAACAGCTTAGTAATCGTATATATGGAATAATTAATATGTATAAATATATTTCTAAACTTTCTCTAACTACTTAACTTACAGTTAATGCTTACTTACAGCTCAACTTAATTTATTTGATATTTCTTGATTCTTGATTCTTGTTCTTGATTCTTGCTTGGCTTTATGTTCTGGACCTACGATGGGGCTGTGGGAAATAATTGATATCTTGCTATGCGAAATGCGCGGCGACATCAACGGCGCCATAAATATCTTGTTTATTACAATATAGTAAATCCGACTGAACTATATACTACGACAATTACAAACGCACACACACACAAACACAGTTGAGAGCACAAACACACATTAATGGCTCCGCACATTGTACAAAGAAAAACATAAACAAGTTACAGTGGGTTTGAATTGTAAACAAAACGCAAATCAATTTGAATAACAAAGAGATTATCGTTGTTAATTTTATATATTACAGTTTTGTTTGCTTATATATTAAAATTAATCAAACAAGTTTAAAGCAAGATAAATATAACAAAAGTATATATTATATAATTATAATTAATTGCTTATTGATTTATTTGAATTCTTTTGTAATGGTTTATTCTTTGAAGCATTGTATTTCATTATATATTTCATATATTTATTAATAATATTACAAAAATAATTGATTTAATTTTTGTTAACGTGTCCATATATATGTTGATTTATTTATTTTATATTTTTAATAAATTAAATTTATTTTATTCATTTATTTATTTTTTCTTTTTGCTAGTGCGATTTATTATAAATTGACTTTAATTATTTTATATTAATATTTTTTTTATTATATATATAAATTAATCTTTTATAAAAGTGTTCATATTTCAATAAAATGCAAATTGTTTACATATTTTTATTTAATTTATTTAAAAGGCAATACTTTCTTTATATTTGCAAGGAATTTTAAAAAGTAAGATAGATCATAAGATGTATTATTATATTTAATTATGTTTATTGATATAGGTTTATTCGCATTCCGATTTATTTTATTTTTATTTATTTTATCTACAAATGTATTCAAATTTATCAAAAATTCAAATTCAGATTTTATGATAAAGTATTTAATTTATAAAAGAGATTATATCTAAAATATACATGTGTACATTTTTATCTAACCAATATCCCAAAACGGAATCTAATTATTAGATTTGAAATAGATCGGTATTGCTAAATATTTGAAAACCAATCAAATTTGGGCTTTTAGATTTTTTTAAAGAAAAATAGAGAAAAATACGAATTATTATAGAATTTTGTTTCATCTCACAAACGCGACCTTGTGCTCATTGGAAGATGTGGAGAAACTCCTCAAACCGACGCCCATTATATACATATACAATATATGCATACACCCACATACATACACAGACGTACATATATTAATATAATATAATAAAAAAAAAGTATTATCGAAGAAGGCCTTAATCTCAAATATGTATTTCCGTTAAAAAGATTATACATAAAAAAAAACTTATATGTATATGGAATTACAATAACAATAGGGAGTTCAAATATGTTTTCGCTCTCAGTCCGATGGGAACCATGAGGCTGCGTTTTAGTATATGAACGGAATTCGAGGCAAGTGTACCTGCTTGGGCTTGAGGAATAGAGAAGTCATCACGCCAGCGCTTGCCAAACTGTGCGATAAACGATAAAGATGTTATCGGTGTCGCGTCTGATAAAAGTGCTAATCGTGCTGCTGCTAGTGAGTGACCCCCGAGCAATACTCAATAACGATATGATATGAAATGATACACATATAATATATATCGTTAAACTCTGCATACAATAGTGCTGCCAGCTACAGTCAGCCCTGCCACAGCTGGACCAGCAACCGGAGGCAACTGTGGAACTAGACGTGCTGAGCTGCCCCTCCAGCTGTGTCTGCCAGTATGCCGCCTTCAATGAGCTGCCCATCGCACGCTGGGTGAATCACATGACCAACACGGACGCTTCCGATGATGCCTCCGACTTCCTTCTGGCCACACACATCAAGCTGGCAACATGTCTGCTGCAAGAGGAGGGCGAGACACAAACGCTGTTCAGTGCTTTACCCATCGACCTGCAGGCTCTAATCCTGCTGCATACGGGCAGCCCAGGAAGCCAGCTGACAGGTGAGTCCTAGCGTTGCAGTCGGGCATTACCGACTGCAGAACACTCATTTAAGTCGCAATTGCTGCCAGATCTATTTTTCTATTTACCACGCCCCCAACTAATATCAATCAATAAAGATGTGAACAACAATTTAGACATTTTTGGTGCCTTTTTAGAAGGCGTCTAAAGTAAAGTAATCGTACAAATTATACGCTATAATATTGTGAAAAGTACAGGGTATTCTGAAATGTGTCAAAGTCGATACAAGCAGTGTAAGCTTTCGTAATCAAATATAAGCTTTGAGATGAATTTATATATATAGGATTTAACATGTAAAATTTCAATACTGAAACAAAGGTTTAATATCAAGCGTTCAATACTAATACAAAGCCTGTGATTCCAGCTTAGACTTAGACACCAAAATAAAGCTTGAATATTTGGACAAAATAATAGATTTATAGAATTAAGATGGCAAAACATGCTGAAACCTATTATTTGGAATTTACGAAAATCAATAGAGTTTAGTTAATAGAGTTCTTTATTTTGACAAAACTTTTTAATCTTCAAGAGTTTTTAATAATATAGAATATTGAAATATAGTTCTCGAAGCCCTAATAATATTGCCTTAAGTTTTTACCTTTAATATACCAACAGTTTATTAAAGCTTTAGCTGGCCTGTATTTTATTATTCATATATTATTCAGATACATAATCATATCATTTATGCAATTAAAACGCCTAAATAAACCACGAAAATGAATAGAAATTGATGCATTGCAAAAGTCTAAAAAAAAACTTATTCTATCACAAATTGAAATACTATTAATATTTGGATTAATCCGAAGCGTCAGCAAATGCTAACACATAATAAATTGCGATTGCAGTGAATACGAGCAGCTTGCGTGCCCTCAACCAGCTGAGCACTCTGGAAATACGCGGCTCGGGCACCACCACGCTGAACATCGATGAGCCACTGGAGTTTCTGCAGCACGCCAACTTCGAGCAGGTCAGGTTGCAGGCGAGCGAGCGGCTGCAGCGGCCGCAGCACTCGAAGCTGCCCAGCGACAATTACGAGTACAAGCCGCCCAGTGATATGGCTGGCAACGAGGCCACGCCCAAATACCAGCTGAAATTCGAGCCAGAGGCCGCCGTCGAGATCATGAGCTATGCGCAGTATGTGGAGCGACTGAAGCAGACGCGCATGCCTAGTTTCTGGGGCTGGAGCCAACTGGAGGTGCTGCGCATCCACAACTGCCAGCTGAGCGAGCTGCACTGGCAGATGTTCGACGGCCTGACGCAGCTGCATCACTTGAGTCTCGAGCGCAACGGTATCGAGGAGCTGCAGCCGTTCGCCTTCAGCGGAGCGCCGCACCTGAAGAGCCTCTCGCTGGCCCACAATACGGTCGCACGCCTTTACTACCTGGGTCTAGCTGGACTCCTGGAACTGGAGACCCTCAATCTGGCCGACAATCACTTGGAGCGCTTGAGTGAGTCGAGCTTTCCGCCACTGCCGCGCCTGCTCAAAGCTGATTTGAGAGAGAATCCCATCATGTACATATTGCCGGCGACGTTTTGGGTGATGAACGATACGCGCGAACTGCTCCTGGGCAGCAAGCTGGCCGCTCTGGAGCTGCGCAGCTGGAATAGCTATGGACAGTTCGATTCGCTGCACAAATTGCGCAAGCTGAGTCTGGGCAATGTGACGACAGCCAGCTTGGAGCAGGGCGTCTTTAAGGTAAGCAATTGATAAACTAATACACAGGTTTATTATTTCAGAACCCATTCTAAATAAAATATGAGGTTGTTAAAAATATATATTCAAAAGGCAACAGTAGAAGTGAGAAACTCCGATAAATTATAGACGAGTCTCGATAAGTTCTACTGCGCTAAATCAAAAATCACAGTCAGTCAAAAAAAAAAAAATTATATTCCCTTGAAAGAAATTCATTCTCAATAATTCTCGATAATTTGATTGTCTATGTAAAACGGAAAAAATTGATCCCCTTGCCATTTCGAATTATCGGGATTCTACTGTTTATATATTATAGATTAATCGATTAATTCTTGTCTATCTGTCTGCCCAACCCATAGATTCGAGAATCTATGATAGCTAAATATTCGAAAATTTGTGGAGGTCTCCAGGGCAGCATTTTTTCCCGACAGATCTGGCTTTCTTCAAAGTTCGTCTCCCTGCTTTTCCATCTATATCTAGTTTTTTGTGCTTTGAATAATCCCCATATTTGTTTCAAGAAACCGATAAGAATACCTATTTCAACTTTATAGAATATCACCTTTTTTTCAGTTATTAAATTATGTCCCGTACAACTTCTGTGCTACAGTCCCCATATTTTATATTTAGTTTAATTTTTATTTTCTACAAATTGTATTTTATTATTATTTTTTTCTCCCATTGAGTACGATTTCAAATTTCATCAAATTCCTTAAGTCAAAGGTCAATGGCAAATATACCTAAAATATTTGCGGTTCTTTGATTTGACAAATTTTTTTTGCTGAAAGCTTCATTGAAATCCGTGCCAAGAGGTTCTTAAACAGGGTACCTGCTAGTCGAGAGCCCCGACTAGTTTTCATACTTTTTTTGTATACCTCATGTGAAAGTAGAGTATCAAGAAACCCCGCTACATAGCTCCAATCGTCTCTCTTCAGGGTCTTTATGCACTAGAGCAGCTAACTCTGCGTGGCAACATTAGCAGCGTTCAATTCGATGCATTCGCTGGCATGGAGCAGCTGCGCGAGCTGGACCTCAGCCATTGCGGCATTGTGGAGCTGTCGATGGATGCGCTGCTCGGTCTGAAGTGTCTGGAGCAGCTCAATTTGGCGCACAACAATTTGACGCATGTGCCAAACGGCCTGCTCGACGATCAGCTGCGGCTGGAGGTGGTGCAGCTGCAGGGCAATCAGCTGCGCACGCTGCCCACCAGCTTCTTTCAGCAGCCGCGTTTGCGTGTCGCCCGGCTCGATCAGAATCCGTGGCAGTGTGACTGCGACATGAGCAACTGGCTGCCAAGGCTGACCAATGTGATGCGCGGCCCCAGCGTCGAGCGTTGTGTGCGCGACATCAATGGCGAGCCGATGCTCTGCCGGCATGTGGCCAGCTATGAGACGGACAAGAAGCTGGTGCCGCGCTGTGCCAACTATAATGGACGCAGCGTCTACTATGTGCTACGCAGGCAGCTCCACTGCGGCGCCCCGCTCATGCTGGCGCCCTCGAGGGGGCACAGCACACGCGGCCTGCCCCATTGGCGTAAATTGGAGCTGCACCAACAGCAGCAACACAAACTCGGCTCCAAGAAGAAGCAGCATTCGCACAAGAAACAACGCAAATCACATTTGGCCCAAAGAAACAATTTGGAGCATATATTGAAGGAACAGCAACAAAAGCAACAGAATGAGGCAACCTCGGCTCAATCTGATGGCCAGAAAATGTCTAATGAGATTTAATAACAATACCAATACACACACATACATACACACAAACACACACACATACGCACACACTCGCACTTAGTTTAGCTTTAAGTCGAATTCCAACAATTATCAATGTTTAATACGCCTACAAAAACTAATTAGAATTAATAAAATAAATGATTAAGTACACATCGACTGAAACCAAACGGAGACGACGATTACAGCTTAGCTCTACGACTATAGCTTCAACAGAAAATATAATTCGAACGAACTGATCATATAGAAGACGTTACAGTTATCCAATAAGTATGCTTAGAAGATTCTGATTTGAAACGGATTTCGTTATCTACGACTAAAACACTTCAACCGGAAATATGTTTTTGACGGAATGTACACATCCAAGATTAGTGCACTTTGAGTGCTCAGTCGAAATGGTTGATTTTTATGGGAGGTCTCTCGCTCTCTTCTCATATACATATGTAAATATAATACATACATATACATATTCTTTACGGAATGCAGAGATTACGATATACATACATATATTCTGATCGCTGGAGTCACAGACCGGACACGAGCAGACAGACAGACGGAGAAAGCTACATCGACTCATCTTGCCGTCTTGATCAGGAATATATGTATGTATACATTATGAAGTTCGTCACGCCTCTTTCTGCATTCTACATACCCTTGCTCAGAATCATTAAAGGGATACTTTTCTGTGTTGCCATTACAAAAAGTGGTTCATATAAGAACTAGAATTTTCTCTGAACATTCATTGCTATGGCAGATTATATATAATATAGTATGAAGTTGCTTATAAAAGAAATGATTGAATTTAAAATCAGGTTTAAACTGAAAATTCCGAACACAAAATATAAAATTGTAAAATTGAGGAAATTATCAGTTTGATAATTATTAATTAAATGCAACAATTGACGGCAGGTTTCTAAGGTTTTTCATACAAGAAACTAATTAACTTAACATAAGATAATTCCAATTGAGACAGATAAATAATAGTTACAGTTAAAAATTGAGTCGACTGTCGATTTTAATCAGACATAAAACATATTTAAAACAAATATGAATGCAAGATATATAACTATAAACATAATATTCTGTTTATAACTCTGAAGAAATAGTGCTATAAAAATACTCAACTGCTGATTTGAATTAACAGCGAAAAATTCTTGATAGAATTATAATGCAGAATTTAGGAGTATATGGGCGCAACATAGGAAAAAAGTATATCAAAAATATTATATAAATATATATCTTTTCCTCCTAACTAGGCCTTTTGACTTCCATTTAAAACAACTGTGAATTTCTCTTATAAGCGTAGTTCTCACTTACCCCTGAGCATCGTTGCGCAGCTGCCTTTGAAAACGCTGCGCAGACCGCCCTCCTTATACAGTTTGCCAGCGCAGTCGATCATGCCGGTGTATTTCTTTTCGCCACCTGGGCCAGTCCCCTGGGTTTGCAGCAGAACTTTGATGCGTTCGCCGGGCGCCATGATGAACGTGGAGAAGAGGCCAGAGAACGAGCCGGCGACAAAGATTTGCGGATAGGTAAGCTTTGAATCCTCACCGCGCTGCTGCAATCGCTTGCCCAGCGCATAGCCGGCAAAGCACATTGCAAATATAGGCGCCACGCCAGTTAGCGGCGCTGACATGCCCTTGTACAGCCCCCGGAAACCTTCGTTGCGTATGGTCTTGGTGGCACAGTCTAGGGTACCGCTATACATGGGCTTCTCTCCAGGCGCTGGCCGTGGCATTGTTTGCAAACGTACCTAAGCATGCGAGGGAATATCCTTATTAGTCGACTATCAATATATATTATGTTATACTTACCTTAATCGTGTCGAGGGGGTGGCCTGAGAGAACATTGCATATGCCGCCAAAGCCGCCAGTGATGAAGGACTTCAGCGGATTAGCTTTGCGTTCTGCAGGAGCATTTTCAACCTTCTCAAGGGTTGTCATGACTTACGGATTTGTGAGTCTGTAAATGGAAAGTGTTTCAATCAGTTTTTTTTTATAAATAAAATATTATTGTGATTGTTTAGATAGAATACATATACAATATGAATTTAGAAAATAAATAAATAATCAATAATACAAATATTTGTATATATACAATATAATTTTAAATAAACAAACAATCAGACATCTCTGCTAATGAGACTAAATTTATACAAAGCATTTACGAAATGCCAGAGATCACCTATATTATAATATATAAGTTTTTACTACAAGTCAATCATGTAAAGGTAATTATACAATTAGACACAATTACGACTATACAGAAAGGCTTATCACCAGCCACAGACACGTCTGTAAGCAGATATTTCAATATTTCAATGAAAGGGTTAACTGGAATTTGCACTCTGCGTGCAATCACATTGCTTAATCTCTACTGGTCATTGTACGAAAACTGATAAGGATTAGACAGTATTAATGTGCAATCCCCAGACCAACTAAAGCCAACAGTCAAAGCTGCCTTCAATGAGGATTAGTAATTCCCGTTACACATACCTGACTGCAGATATACGAATGAAGATGTTCAAAAACAACGTCGTGGCGGCAGTGCAAGTGCGAGCGAGAGCGAATGAGTAAGGCGCAGCAGAACCTGTTGCGGGCAGCAGTACAAGATGTCGACTGTTTTGACTTGGAGAGCGGCACCTGTGTAGGTGAGCATTGAGTGAATTGGTTATATTGTTATCAATATTGGAACGAACACATTGGTGATATGGCTACGTACCTAGGAGAACTAAAATTTGCTTAATTAAGGCTGCATTGCCGGCACCGAGGTTCAAAGTCCGCTATCTTTGGCAGTTTGAACCAGACAATCGCATCTATTTTTATCTAAGCATCGGCGACCTTTTCTATTACAGGCAGCTGCTTTCTAATCGCTGCATGGAATTGTTTTACTCTCCAATCATTAAAAACTCTGCTTTAATTTTTTGAATTTACCCAAATCTCTATGGTTTGTAATTTTGTGTTCTGCAATTAAAGCTAGAGATGAACCAATCGAAAGCTACACAGACAAATAGGCCTATAAAAAAGCCTATGTCAAAAAATTGTTTTCTTTTAACAAATCAACAAAATATTAAATTATAATATAAAAAGATTGTTTAGACATATCTAACGCACTGAGAATTGTTAAATATACTTAATTATTTTAAATTATATAGTTATTATTTTGCTCACACTGTTATAGACACGAACTTTACGTGGCACACGAAAAGCACGAACCGGTTTCATCTCTATTCGAATGCTCTCAACAGGGGCTGCCAACTCGTGCTTAAATATATCTGTATTTACACAGCTGTTGGCACCTGCCCGGCAATTCAAAATAAATCTATATGTATGTATGTAGTCTATCAAAATATATACATTTAATTACATAATTTGTTAAGTTATACAATAATAAAATTATATAGCGTCTATGTGGCCCACAGGCGTTAGACCCCTATTGTCTAAAATGTTAACAGATCATTGGCCAGCTCAACGCCAATAAATACCGCTGCGGTTGAGGGAAAAGCACGTATTAATATGGGCAGGACACCGCGATACAACGCCTTGGGTCCCTCTTTGGCCATCAGTTCCTTGAACACGCTTCGTATGCCATGCTGATAGGTGCCCTCGGGCGCTAAATGTTAAATGACAGTTAGCATAGTACTTTAAAGACACATAATATCATTTACTAACCCGATTGCAATCGACTCTTAAGTACATCAAAAGGCACAGCCAATGACCAAAATGCAATGCCAGCCATGCCGCCAGCAAATATGGTCGATGTGGGCGTTATACTACCTGTCTTTGAGTGCCGTCTAGCCAAATCTTGCAAGGCCTCGTATATAACAAAATAGACACCAGTTGGTGAGTCTATAAGGAATAAGAATATCAAATATATACAGATCAACAGCAATCTCTGACTCACCTCGCAGCACACAAGCACACGTGCCCTTAAAGAGACTCCGTATACCACCTTGCCTATAAAGCTTTAGTGCGGTATCTATTAGACCATTGTACATCACTGGCCCGGTCACCGGTTGGGTTTGCAGCAACACTTTAATGCGATCGGATGGCACCGTAACCAGAGCCGAGCAAACGCCCGCCCCAGCGCCGGCGATAAATATTTGTGAATATGTGAGCTTAACGTGTTCGTCACTCTGAAAGAGCCGCTTCCCAGCCGCATAGACAGCAAAATCTACCGCATAAATGGGCGTGACACCTATCAAAGGTGCTGAAATGCCTTTGTAGAAGCCTCGAACACCCTCATGACTAAACGTCTTCACAGCACAATCGATGATGCCTTTGTATTTGGGCGGCTGACCAGCTACGGGCAGCGGCATTGTCTGTAGTCGCACCTAAAAGTAAATACAAATAATAAAATAAAATAAGAAATAAATCAAACCTATTGCTTTAAAAAACGTACCTTAATTGTATCTAGCGGATATCCTGTTAGCACACTGCATATTCCACCGAATCCTCCAGCTATAAATGATTTAACAGGATTCGCTTTGGGGTCGCATGTCGGCAATGCCATGACGAATTTATAGTATTTACGTAAACGAATCCAAAATATCGTCAGCCAGTCTTGGGATGATTACTGAGTAATTGATACATGCACGTGTGGTGAGTTTTGTTTGGGTTATGTTATCAGTGAACTGGTCTGCTGCTGCTGCTGCTTAATGATGATAATCAATTTGTGGATTTCTTTGGCGAGCTCAATTTCCATTTCGAATTCACAGCAGCACATCCAGTCTTATCAACTAAAACCATATGTCGAAGCGCAAACATTTACATTTGGCCAAAATGTTATTAACAGTGCAGATAAATCTTATACTGTTACAATAGTTTACTCATATTTCAGTGTTATGAAATGCATTAAATTTATTGCAGACTTCAGTTTGGCAAAGAACCGTTTAATATTGGAAGGTAAAAGGCCTGTAATAATATAAAAACACTATAACACAATCGGAATAAGGAGTAATAAGTTCACTAACAACAATCACAGCTTACAGCGGTGGCTTGGCAAGACCCCAAGCGAATTTGTCGTATTTATGCTAACATATTTTAAAAAGAAACAATTTTGATATATTTTTCAGAAACAATAAAAAATTAAGAACATGTTCTGTGAAAATTATCATTCCGTAGAGCAATTGTGTAATTATTATATACAGTTGTCTACTTAAAAAACATTACTATATTTTTATATTACATGCATAACCGGCTCTTACATTTATAATGTGTACATCTGCGTTTTAAAAGAGTTTGGAAATTTTAGATTTAAAATGTCCATTTGCCAATTGCTCGATATTCGCCTACTGCTTATCGATAACTGTAATAAAATTGACATTCACAGCGAATATCTCTGAAAGGTCTCAATACTTTAAATGACCGAAAACAATAAAAATATCGTTTAAAAATGCATACCAAAATGTTTTAAAACGTGCTATTTAATTTAAATGATACATCAATAATAAAAAAACGCAGCTCAATTTGATTGCTATCGAGCCTATCGAGTGTGCCACAGCAGGGCTGCCAGAGTGAGCTAAAAATTGTTGCGTATGCGTGTGCAAAGCATATGCATAGCATATTTTATTGTTTAAAACAATCCTTTTGTGCAAAAAATTGTGCAAAAACATATGTAGAACTTATGTCTGATACAAGTGCTCTGGAATTATGTATCAGTTGTAGTGCGAGCTGCAGTAGCAGGCGCAAAAGAAGAAAGTGAAGCAGCTACAACAACAACAGCAGCGACAAGAACAACAACAAAAGAGCAGCAACAAATTTTGTAAAAGGGAAAAAGAAATATATATACATACATATATTTGTACACAATCAAACGCACACGCAACGTGCTCGCACCAGCCCCATTATAAATTCAAGAAACAACAGCTACAAAAACAGCAATTGCAATGTCCAATGGTGACGATGTGCTAGACAACTGGGAAGAAATTGACGAGGCAGGCGTGAGTATAGATTGACATTACAACAATAAACAGCAACAACATCAAAACAGCAACAACAAACAAAAAAATAATCGTCGAAAATGCTCTCTCGATATCTCTTATAGCTTTGCATGACGCTTCAAACGAAACTGCAAACCGCCGACGACGACTCCAGTTGCACCCTTAAGCCCGCCCCAACAGCTGAAACACCAGCAACAACAGCAGCCTCTGGCAAAATGAAATTACTTCAACGGCCGCAAAGCATGCAGGAAAGCAGCGGCGGTGGCAGCACTGCGACGGCCGCAGACGTGGCACCTAAACAAATCATGATTGCTAAGAAGCAGCCAACGTCTGCGACATCATTGGATGACGAATCGAGCGCGCCGTCGCCGCCTGTTATGATGGTGCTCCATAAATCGAGCAGCGAGTACGATGCTGCCAATTATGCCACGCCCATTAGCAATCAAACGGTGAAAATCTTGCGACGACCCGCACAGGCCGAAGAGCGCCGTGATATGAATGGCATTAGACCCAAGCAGCCCATCAAAACGCTGCAACAAAGAGAGCAGGAATACGCACAGGCACGTCTTCGCATACTGGGAAGCGCTAAGAATCCAGAGGACGATAAACCGTTAGTATTTGAGTGTATATACATATATAACATTGATACTGCCAGTTATCATTTGCAGGGATCGTAGCTACATATATTTACATTGTTTTACTGATGCTGGCAACTCTTCTAGTGAATATGTAGTTGCTCTCAATATTCATGCTGTTTATAGATCTTGAGTGACTCATAACCTTCCAGTAGCTTCTATAGCTATGCTATAAGAGAGCTCTGCTGCCATATTCTATATAGAAACAGATTAGCGCATCAGTTGATTAACAGATAATGCCATACCATACCATAGATAATGGGTAATTAGCTATATATTCCTCGGAGCATTCTCTTAGCTAATTTCTGTTCATTTTAATAACCAATATAAGGATAATATATCCTATAGCTGTTATAGAAAATATTCAATAGCAAAGAAACTTTCCATAAAATTAGGATTAGCTATGCAATTTTCAATGATGCAGTTAAAATTATCTATATATTAGCTATGTCTCCAACCAAGATAAGTATAGGATATCCTGTAGAGCAAATTGATGATGCAATGATCCAGTTTCTGTAAGAATGCCAAGCTTTAACAAGCGGTGAAACTGGTACTTGATCCGGATACAATTCTATATACAACACTTTCCATTTACAATTTCTCGTTTTACCATTTAAGCAGCGTTCATTAAACTAATATTTGAGCTCTGTATATACTAGACTTTCCCTAAACGAAGTTCCCAATGCAATTTCTCAAGTTGCCTTTTGTGCGCCTTGTAAAACTAATATCTAATCTCTTGCAGTGCCGCGGCCGCAACCCTCGTGGTGCTATCAACCCCAGTGCAACCGGAGGTGACGACAACAACGCCGACAGCGTTCAACTTCAATAACAACATTAATAATAACAACAGTGGCATTGGCATTCAGTCAGTAAATAATGCATCACCTGGCATGCATCGGTCCACATCGGCGCCAAAGATGTCACAGACGGCGCCCTTTTACAACAACTACAACAATTATTATCAGCCGCCGCCAAATACAGCCCCCATGGGCTATTTCTATCAGCAGACACCGTCGATGCATCAGCCACATCAACAGCAGCAACAGCATCAACAAACTTCGCCACAATCTCTGGCGCACTACAATCAACGACTGTCGCAGTATATGACAGGCGCCAGTGTGACAGCAGCAGGAGCTGCAACGGCCAACCCTCAGCAGAGTTGGTCGCCGGTTGTGGGCGGCAGTGTTTCGGCGGCGCTGCTGCGTCAGCAATCGTTGCATACGCCATCGTTGCAACAGCATCAGGCACAGCCACAGCCACCGCCACCTCAATATGCACATCCATACAATGATAACGTACTACGGCTGCCACGTGGTCCGTGCCCCAATGGCACAATCGGATTTCAGATGCGTCGGTAACAGGCGGCCAGATGGATGCAACAAAACTATCTATTATTTCAATTATCCCATGCCAATTGAACGCATGCATTCAAAATTGTCATTTCTGAGATTGCATTAAGTAATTTGTTTTGCTTTATACACATTTATATATACATCTATATATATATTTATTCATTCTTTTTCATGTGGCAAATTTGAGAGCTGCAATCAACCAACTATGTAAACAAATTTATGACGGAGTTTGGTAGTTATCTTGTAAATTTACAAACAAAAAACAACAGAGGAGAAACATTACAATTTTTTAATGCTTACTAATAATAATAACAAAACAATACAAAAACCGAAAATACATATTTTACAAAACGAGAATGGGCTACTTGATTATGATCGAATTCGAATTCGAAATTAAATATCTTTATAAATAAATACAAATATTATTGATTGTAATTTAGATATGGTAAGTAAATTATATAATGTTTGATAGTACTTTGATGATTACCTACAAAAATATTGGTATATTATTATAGATCAGGTAAGTATACTTATAGAGTTGGGCTAATTTCTAATAATTATTTTAATGGTTAAAATACTGTATAATAAATCCGGTGGATATTGTATGACTTTTTATACAATTCACTATATGAATTTTAGATTATGGCACTTTTGATCATTTAAGTATTAATATAGAACTTGCTGATATGTATTTAGAATTTAATTGACATTTCAAAGATTCTCTGAAAATTACATTTGCAAAAGATCTAGGTTCCTAATATTCTATTAGAATTATTAAAAAAAAAAAAAAAAACGTTTTTTATGGTATTATTTTAGTTATGGTTATAACTGTAAGAATTTTAACTTTGTAGTAATTAATATACTTTGAATTAATTTAAGTGATTTACATATTTGAAATAACTTTAAAATTTAATTTCTGACATTACAGATTAGGTAAGTAATATTTGTTTCAAATCAGGGAATAACATGAATTTTTTCCTTGCTTAAAGAACAAAATTTTTTCCAATTTCATTTTTAGCATTTTTTTGTTGGAAATTTTTTAAATTGTAATTTCCAAGTTATGAATCATGATGAATACTCGGTAACTTATATATCAGAAAATGTACTTTTCGATATTAACAAATTGAGAAGAAATAAAAACATGTGCACACATTTAAGTACACACGATCAGTATTGAAATCAAGAGATTTGTTTCCAGAATTCGGTGCATTGATCTCAGATTATCTGTAATTTGTTTCCGCGACTGATGCAGGGCCATAAATTTTATATGATTAAGAAATCGGCTGATCGCTTAAATATGATTTGGTTTTATTATATGTATACTTATACCTCATCCAGTTAAGTGAAGTTTCACACTTCTCGCCATTTAATTACAATAAAAATTGTAAAGAATTGCTTAATTTAATTAAAGCGTACAAAATGCCGTACTGTTAGCTGCAACTGCACTTACCCCCACGGTCTGTACGGTTACGGCCTCTGAAAAGGTTATCGTTGTGTTTTTGTTATTTTCCAAACGGTTTCTTCTGCCACCAATAACAAAAACAAGAGAGTGCATTAGGGGACCGACGCCAATCGGCAATCCAATGACTTTCTTATCAGCTCGCAGCAACGTGAAATATGTATAAGACGTGTATAAGTGTGTGAGCGAGACAGAGAGAGAGAGTGAGAGCGCGCATAACATAATCAACTGGTATCGCGACGAATTGGCGTTGCCTAGGCCTGTCTACTATTTTCGCTTTTTATTTTTGCCTACACATAAAGTATTTAATTCAGTCCAGTTTCAGTTGAAAACACGGCGTCGTGCGGTGCGGTTTACTATTAGCAAAGAACGGCGAAAGCAACATAAGAAGCATAACTGAAAAGAGACTAAACAAAAGCCACGCTCTCTCACACTCTCGCCGCTCAATTCGCTCTTTGTTGCTCGTGCGTGCCAAAAATCGTCACTGATCGGAACACGTGGGCACGCAGCAAACAGAATATAATAATAAAAATACAACGAAAACAATTTAATAGCAATCATTTCGCGTGATTAAAACGTGCAAAGTTTTCTGATTAGTATTGTTGTTGTGCTTTAATATTAACAAACGGCGAAAATGTCAAATCGCGTGCTGGTCATCGGTAGCGGTGGGCGTGAGCACGCCATCTGTTGGAAGCTGGAGCAGTCGCCGCTAGTGTCGCAAATCTACGCTCTGCCGGGCAGCTTCGGCATTGAGCAGCTGGGCGCAAAGTGCCAGAATCTCGGCGCCGACGCACTAGATGCGAAGGATTTTGAGGTGAGTGCAGTGTACGCTCCGGAGGTTCGTCGTGGTTAGCTCAGTGCAGCCGCGCGGTGTGCTCACTGTCCTTCACTTAACCTTCGAGCCGGGCTTAAAGTTACACTGCGTCGCTGCTGCTACTGCTGCAGCTGCGGCGGATGCAACCACGGCTATGCGATGCTGCAAATTTATCAACATTTTATTGCTATTTTTTTATTACACATACATATGCCTGCTTTTGACATTTTCTTTTATGGTGCTCAGTTAATTTGGTTTTAATGTTAAACGGAGCTCGTAAATGGATCCAATCAAAAGCGTAACAGCGGCCAAACTTTGCATTCTCTAACTGTGTGCATGTGCCTATGTGTGGCTGTGTGCGCGCGTGTGTGTGTCTGACTATAGATACTTTAACCCCTAAGCGGCACAGTGTGCCAAAAGGTAGATTTATTGTTTAGCCTTGAGGTGATTGAGATTCTTAGACATTTTATTAAGGAATTGTAGTTAAATATGAATAAAATGGTTAATGTTTTAATTAAAAAATTTATATTTAAACTGAAATTTGATTTATTAGCAAACAATTTTACATTTCATCAGTATCATTATATATAAAAAAAAAAAAATAAATAAATAAATAAATAAATAATAATAATAATTAAAATTGTCGAGCAAATATATTTGAAAAATTTAAAATTAAAATATAAAACAATAATTTTATATTTTTTTACATCAATTATAAATTTAAATAAGTATATTTGCTATTTTATTTATTTTTTTTAAATTTATTTGTTCTATAATTTTTAATTTGTTGTTTTATAATTATCAGTAATATTTTCCACATGGTGTAAGAAAAGTTTTTACTTACGTCATGTAAAGTATTTCCGTTGCTTTCTAAAAATATATACAAATAACATGATATTGATAGATTTCCTGATAATATAATCTAGCAAACAAAACAGCTTTACATATTCGCGATCACGCCTTTTGGAAAAACAATAAATGAACTATTTATAATAAATAACTCAGTTTTTATTAATACTGAATCGTATCATCTGGAATTCAAATAAAATATTGTGATAAAGTAGATGTTTAAAATAAAAAAAAAAATAAAAAATCTTATAGCAGAGTTCATTCAGCATATAAAAATATTATACTCTGATTTCCCATTTTGAATGGATTCTAAGTATAAAAAGGGTATATAGGATTTCTAAGCAATTACAAATATGGACATCTCCTCCGTTAAAATGTAGATGAAGATGAGGGATAGATGGAAACCAATCACAAAAGGAAAACTCTTTAAATTCAGTTAGATTGAACAAACAAAATCGATGTTTTTTTTTTTTTTATCTCTGTCAATAGATTTACATCTGAAACTTTGAGATTAATAAGCCCAGCCATATAAATCGATTAGACTCGCCTTTAAATCTTAAGTAAATGCACTTGCATTCGGATTGCAATTTGTCCGCCTATTAAAATATCATATTTTTTATTTATTTAATTTTTATTTTTTTTTTAATTTTATTTTTTTTTTGCAAGTAAAATCTTTTGCTTTCAATGCGGCTATAAATTCCGTTATCTATTAGCGGGTCCATTTATAAAGTCGCTCCAAGCATTAGCGTCTGCTCGATTGACACCTGAGACGGAGTTTGAATATAAACAATTTCATTTGTTTCATATATCTTTTTGTATATTTTCGATTTTTTTTTTTTATTTATTATTATTATTTATTTATTTTTCTTTTTTTGTCTTAGCACTTCTATTCATTAATTGTTTAGATCAAATTCACAGTTTGCGTCTGGCTTGTCTGTCAGTCTGCCATTTTCCCTGCCCGCCCCGAACCCGACCCATCAGCCGTCTCCATACATCTAATATGGATCATTCGATCGCCCTCAGCGTTGCGTGGGTGGTGCATGTGTCAGATGCACCACCTTAGGCGTCACACTGGGTCGAGTACGCGGCGTCGTCGGCTCCTGAATGTCGCGTTCGTACACCTTAAAGGCCTCCGCATCGTGAGCCACAGTCTTCAGCTCGCCCGTATAGTAGTCTCGGACCTGATACGGATGTGTACGGATATAGGCCAATGCGCGCAATATATAGTCGGGCACCTTGGGTATATGATCGCCCACGGGATAGTAGCCCTTCTCATCGGCCACATAGCTAATGCTAATGGGCGTGCCCTCAGGTGAGATATAACTCGAGCCGCCTTGCACGGCAATGCCTCCCAATCCGGATTGTTTGCCCGTAATGCCATTGGACGTTTCGTACGCATAACTATAGCTGCCATCCGGATCCACGTTCAGTTCGTTGTGCAGCGTATGCGTATTACGATCCGAATCGGGTATATATGCTGCCTGGATCAGAGCTGTCACGCACACGAGTTGTATCTATAAAATTTGCACACATTTTGATTAATTGAAATCCAATTGGAATTCTTTAAAATAGTTCAAAAAGCTTACAAGCAAAGAGAGTTGCATATTTTTGCACATTTTCGGAATTGAAAAAAAATTTCAATAATATTTAATAATAATTTTGTTTTTTGTGATTTCGTATATTTAATTTAATTTTTTTTTGTTTGTTTTGTTTTGTTTTGTAAATCTCGAAATCTCGTCGCGGTTGTTCGTTCTAGCGCTTTAAATCAACGACTGTTTGGCTGCTTTTTGCATGCTTTCGTTTTTATATACAATTCGCTTGCCATGAATTTTTGTACTTTTTCGTTTTTTTGTTGTTTTTAATTTTTGGGGATTGGAAACCCAGTTCCGAGAGCGAAGGCGTCGTCTGTAGCCGTCGTCTCCAGCCGCTCGTCATATCATCATCTCAAGCGGCAGTCATAAATTAAATGATTTTATTTGGTTTAAGCGAGGCTTCGTTTATTTTTTATTATTTTTTTTTGTTGTTGTTAATTTTTGCCTTTTTCCTCTTTTTGTTTATAATAATTATTTTATATGTGATCGCCAAATGGTTACCGTTCTTAAAGTTTTGTGGGCCGGTTAAATATCATTTATTGCTCTTAATATCATATACCCTATTCGAAGGTTATA